CAGGCTTGTGTTTGGTGTAATGGAGATGGAGTGACTCAACATCCACAAAAAGCAAGACTCATCGCTAACATTTACCACATAGCTCAGAGCAACAAATCCTCCACAGGAACTTGGTCAACATCTTTGGAATTTTAAAAGAGGACAATTGGGTTGCAACTAAAGATCGTTTTAACTCTTGATTTGACAGAAAATGGTGAAACATGCAGATCACTAATACACATTAACCACTATGACATCCAAAAATAGCTTCTTGTTTTCAAAATAACTTTACAGAACTGAACAATGTGCAGTTATGATGAGGTAAAACTGAGAAAATGGAAAATCCTCACATTTTAATGTGTGGATTATGCAAAATGTGGTGTTTATTGATTGAAAAGTGATAAACAAACACTCAATCCACTGTTTCAATAAATTAATTTAGGTTAGATTAAACTGTTCTCTGGAAATCAACACAGCAAATGTGGAAATTTCCACTTACTTGCCAGCACAATGATGTACAACACAATGTCTGGCCATCACCACAGCATGAACATGTGCTGCTACCACTTACATTCTGCTGTCTGCCTCCAATTTCAGTCCCAGCAAGATGTTTTGCTATTTTTTGGTTCCAAAATCATTCTGAGAAAGTTATGCAAAGTTCTAGTCATCTTTTAGTTCCCAGAATGTTCTTTTAAAAGACAGCGTAACATATTCTAAAGACGTTCTTTAGTGGATTTACAGAAGAATTGCAGGGGAAATGACACATTAAAGGGACGTTTTATAAAATATAGTCCTCTGAGGACTCAGTAACATCTGGAACACATGTTGTTTTGAGAACATTCTTTCTTTGTTATCATGAAACATTACCTGACAGCATCCTCTAAACATACATTAATGGTTAAAAAAAACAAAAAAAAACATTCTGTCCGAGTTTAATGTAAACCATGGCTACAAGTACAAAAATGTAATGTTTCAGGAATCCTGATGGACCTTGTATTCCTGGAGCACAATGGGATTACGGGAAGTATTTTTTTTTTCCCAGAATGAGAAAATCTAACCATTTTCATTAGAAGCCAGTAAGAGTCTGGAAAAACCTGAAAAATGATAAACCAGTTGTTTAGTCATGGAGGTACTTTGACGTGAGTATGAACAGTAATGGAAACATGATCATGGAATTTAGCCTTCACAGCTCCACTGTCTCTTTATTGTACACATATTGAGTAAGGCACATATACACACACACACACACACACACACACTCTGACACACTCACAGCCCTCTGATTAAGTCATGATAGATCATCCCCACAGGGCCTGGCCTTTTCACCATGGTTTGTGTGCATGTGTGCGGGCGTCTGTGGTGTGTTTTCAGCAAATATCCACATTAACATATATGCCTGTGCAAGCTTGTGCGCGTGCTTGTGTGTGTGTGTGTGTGTGTGTGTGTGTGCTTGTGTGTGCGTGTGTGCATGTGTTTGCCAAGTCACTCACTATGTGCAGGTGTATGAGAGTGTGTGTGTGTGACATCAGGGCGAGTGCCGGGTCAGCAGGGGTCAAGGAGGAACAAAAGCTGGGAGCAGCTCCCAGCTGCTGGGCCAAACGTCATCCACCAAAGCCCTTCCCCTCCCATCCCCGTTTCTTTTCAATGGGAGTGTGCCGCTTCTGCTGACACATGCACATTTACACACTCAAACACACACACACGCATGCACACTGGCGGTGCACGGTCATGTCTAGAGCTGCAGCAGGCAAAAAAGGGGTAAAAGGGCACATGGGGACATATGCATCATGCATGGATGCAAATGCGCAGCACAGACTGAACTCACATCTCACTACTTCCTCTCAGAGTTACAAAGATATATCACAGATCAGCAACAACCGGAGGAACACAGCTCGAAGAATCATAGCAAACAGCATGTGGGTATCTTTTTTTTAAAAGAGGAAAACACTGTGAAAAACAGTTGAATTCTGGAAGCAAATTTTGCCTTTGAAAGTTGTTTAAAGTCACATTTTCATACTGTGATCATCAAGCTGTCAACCTGAAGTGTTGTGTTTCAGGGTTAACTGAGTGATTGAACCTTCCAGCGAGGATAAGACATTGTGTAGCTGTCAGAAACTAAATACCTTGTTCAACAGTCAAGACATCCACTTTGCATATAAGCACAGAGGAGCTTAGAGGAGAGATGGTATTCAAGAGGATTTAAGGGAAGGAAAGCAAACTGAACATGGAGGGACTGTTGCATCAAACTGAAATATGCCACAATTTGAAATACCTACATCTTCATAAAAGCAGAAATACATTCAAAGGTAGATCTTTGCTGCAAACACAGCAACTTTAATTAATTCAACACTTTCTTGCATTTTTACAAGACATTTTAACAGCATCACACCTTTTGTATATCACAGTTCTTTACTGAAATTTGCATACTTATAGAATAACTTCTGGCTCCAACTCCTCAAGTTAAGACAAGTGTGTCTGTAATGACTTTCCTGGGATCAATGTCTTTATTGTTTTTAGTCATTTAAACTGTCTATAACCCTCAGTAATGATTTTGTGTGGAGATGAATCTGCCGTTGCATTGAAACTCAACTAAGAATTTAATTTGTCAGATAACAGTTTGTATATAAATCTTCTAAGTAGTATTATTTGACTACATTAATTTAGGTTTTACACATTTCAAGTATCGATTATGTCATGTATCTGACTTTTTTTTTTAAACACACAAAAAAACAAGAAAGATGGGACACCACTTACTTTTACATGGGATCCATGATGTTACATAATACAAAACGGCTCCTGAAGTGATCACACAGAAGCTGCTGCTCTTCTTAATTAGCTGCTTTCTGCAAGAGTTTGTGTGAAAGACAGAAAGCACAGCAGGGTGCTGAACATTTACCTTCAACTGCCTGACTGTCTCCACCCAGAGGCCACAATCTGTCGCTTTCTGCATGCGTCTGATTTTTTTTTTTTTTTTGACACTTGCTGCTGGTAGCTGCAAATTCAAGTTGAGGTAACTTAGTTAAACTGGCTTGATAACCCAGGATTTTAAATTCACTTCCTATTCATCAGTCACTTAATCAATGAATTAGATTTTATTCATATAGCAGTTTTCCTACAAATAAAATGCAACGCAAAGAGCTTTACAGATAAAGATGGTCAAAATGCAACAAAGCAATACAAGCAAACAACCCTTCCCAGCGTCATGAGGAACTGAAATGTTATCTTATATAACACTTGCAATAAGGAAACATCAGATGAGATTAAATGAAATAAAATAAGATAAATTAAAATAGATGAAGAAATAAAATTAAATAAAATGTTCATTATTAAAATAGATGGAGAGAAATAGAAGCCAAAAATTATTAAAACTATGAGAAGTGATAATAATAGGTGATAAACTATACATTAAATAGACTAAAATATGTAAATAAGTGAATAAATAGATAAATCAATGCATTAAATTAGTTCTAATAAGAGTAATAAATAACTAAAATCTATCAAATTGATCAAAAGCCAGACTGAACAGGTAGGTCTTGAGTTTTTTTTTTTTTTTAAACGTAATTTTTAAGAATGCCTCACCTGTGTTCATATTTATGGTTAATAAGTACACAACACATAAAAATCCTTTCAAATAGCAAGACAATACTAGTTTGAACAACTTAATTTTAATGAGTAATCGTTTTGAAATCTTGTGTTTTTGCTGCCAAGTAATAAATAACTGGCAGCCTTTAATCATGGAGGAAGAACTAGTTCCCCTAATTCGATGTGGTTCGCTGACTGAACAGAATTTCATTAGAAACTGACATAACTCAAAAAGGTTGGCATAAACCGTAGAGTGCACCTTCAACAGCAAAATCCAACTTTCCAGAAAGATTCTATGTAGTAGTTTTACACTGACAGGAAAATTTTGTCTTCAAATACTTTCATTTTTTGAGTCTTTGAGTAAATTTTACCGTCAGATTAAAACCAGGACTTAAACAATTAAGTATTTTCACAGTGTGTTATTGCTATGTGTGAGTCCAAACATTATTTTTTAGAGTGCATCTACTTCAGTAAAATGCAACATATGTATTAATGCAGCAGTAATCGCAACAAAAAACAACCTATGTAACAGTTAAATACTGACAGGGAAGATTTGTCTTCAAAATACTTTGCTTATAAGGGTTACATAATTGTACACAAATAAAGGATCTAAATACTTCTTCCACCACTTATGAAAGTTGGATGGGACTGCTGCTGATATGAAACCATCTCTCTTATTGTGAACACACAGTAACAAGGACTTTTGTCTCCCTCTACTGGATAAACATTATAGATTCAACCTAACATTACATTCAGTAAGTTTAATAACGTCAAGAAACTGACACTAAAGACAAAAGACAAAGAGTATTGACCAGCTTCTGTAGTATGTAGTTTATTTATTCATAGGAACAGTGATAAAGTGACAGAAAATTAAATATTAGGCAAAAATGTTGGAATAGATAAATAAAACAGGGCTGCTCAGGGGTTAGCAACATCGACTCACAGGGATAGAAGATCCCCGGTCAGGGTGCCTGGGATCTTTCTGTGTGGAGTTTGCATGTTCTCCCTGTGCAGTGTGGGTTCTCTCCAGGTTCTCTAGCTTCCTCCCACACAGTCCAAAAACATGTTGAGGCTAATTAGTGATTCTAAATTGTCCGTAGGTGTGAATGTGAGTGTGCTTGGTTGTCTCTACTTGTTTGATAGACTGGTGACCAGTTGGGATGGACTCCAGCCTCCCACAACCCTAGTGAGGTAAGTAAGTGGTGTGTAGATGATGGATTGATGGAAATAACAAAACAGTCATTAGAGAAATCTTTGCAATAGATAAATAAAACAGCCTCTGAAAAAACACTAAAGTAAACACTAAACTAGTCTTTGTGCAACTACAAAAGCACTTGATCGAGCAGTTGTTACTAAAGTACTATATAAAAAAAATACTACTTAAGCATCTTGTTACTTATTTCTTATAAAATAACCCTGAGGCTGCTCATGTAGCAGGATAAACATCCAGAAACTATTTTTAATGCCATGATTTATGTCACAGAACAACTGCTGTTTGAAGAAGTTCATGTACAGCAATATTATACTTCATATGCTTTCTCAGACCCACATCCTTTTGTCTCTTTTTAACATTCCAGTAGCTTCTGTTGAAAACTTTCTCATGCTGGACATATTTATATACACGTTGTGTTTAAATGTAGAAGTTGTCTTTTGTGGAATTCATTGTAAACTCATGTAAACACTCTCTGCATCATTCTAACACATAAATAACTCATTTTCTCAGGATTTTTTCTTTACATACTTATTGTTTGTGAATTTGTAAGAGTCCACAAACTTTCAGACAATAGCGGACTGTGCACATTTTTTGGCCGGCGTAGCAGGCATCAGGTATCGAACTCTCTTCCAGAAGCGGGAGTTCCAGGCTGCAGCGCCACGCGAACTCTCCGGCCACTTTAAGGGGGCACTCTTAAGGATCAGGTGCTGCAAGCCAGGGGGGAAGTTAGTGTATCCTTGTGGCCCGGTGTCCCCCAGCTGAATCAGAATCACACTCATCTCCCTCTGGATCAGCGCATGGTGGAGCCCCACCTGAAATGATGAGCAGCAGTTTATTTAATGCTTCCCTGAAGGATTTTTAGTCACAATCAGTAGTGCTGCAGGTAGAAAAAAATAACAAAATGTGAAATCCAAGAATGACCACGGCTGCTCTCAGTGTGTTGCGGCTTTCATTTTAAAAATCAAGGTATCACACATTTGATGATTTCCTCATCTTCAGCAGCAAAACAACATGGGATTGCATTTAAACAGTACTTCAGGCGCTGTGTGCTGGATTACATTAGATTACAGGTGTGTTGGAGCAGATCTTCACCAGCTGCTCTGTATCACACTATCAAGCTCTCTTCAGATATTCTGCTCTGACACCCTATGCCACCTAGATTCTGCTCAAGCAGGTCAGTCTTTCCCCAAAGCTCCTGCCCCCTTCGGCCCAGCTTCCAGCCTCAGCTCTTGTTGTCCTGCAGCCTTTAAACTCTGAATCACTTGCGTCCTGTTCACTTGTGGCTATTGGCCGAGCTGTGAGTTTCAAGATTTTGTATGTCAATTTTTGGCGTCTCTGGGCAGAAATCTCTTATTTTTCCTTCAGCATACTGTAATTCACATGATGTGAGAGGAATCTAGACTTCTGTTTCTCCTCCTGGCTCCATCTTCAGACTTTTAACCAGTCAGATAGTATAACTAGCATCTGTGGCCCAACCTCAATGTCCTGTCCACTGAACCCTCAGCCACTTGGCTGACATCACAGCTGTAGTAGCTCAAGTGTGTGTCTTTGTGAGGTCCCAAACGGTGCAGAAAGATGGAACGGGATGCATTATCATTGCTTGGAAACATCAACATCACAAAAAGTGAACTTCCTGCCCCTCTTGGCTCAGCTCGGCTCAGGAATCTGCCCATCTTCAATCATCATGTTCCCCTGTCCTGCTTGACCCAGCGTCCAGCACATCCTCAGGATAAGTCCCAGTTCCCAGCTAACAGTCCAAGCTTCAGCCCTGGTTCACACCTACGCTGCCTCTGGTATTTTGGCTAATTTTCCACTGTGTCTGTTTAATGGAGCTCTGCTTCTTGGTTCTCAAACAGTCCAAATCACAGCACAGCAGCTACTGATTCTGTGCCTTCATGTGGCTGATTGCTGTTGATAGCTGATGCTGTTTCACCTGCGTCTTGTGAATCACATTTGTCTTGTCTCACACTTATATATATAGTCCTGTGTTGTCCTTTATTCTCTGCCAGTTCATCCTGATTGTGTCCTTCTGCTACTGTGCTGGATTTTTAAGGCATTAAAGCAGAGGCAGGTGGTAGTTCTTTTTTTTTTTGGTGTCGTGAGGCAAAAATTCCACAGGAACCTTTCAGTATTTTTTTTTTTTTTTTTTAACAATGTAAGTGAAATGAGAGTAAATTAGAATTCTGTTCCTCCCCCTAGCTGTGTTTAAAGGCTTTAAATAGATTTTAGGTACATGATTATGTGGTCGGACCTGCTTAGAACAGAGAGGGTAGAAGGAACAACTGCTTCTCCAGATTGCTGCCTATTGCAGCTTTACATGACGTGCAAAATGGGTTTGGGTTCAGGCCAGGGGGCGTTGCCAGATTTCCCCTTGTGGGACTAAAAAAGGACATTCTATTCTATTCATTCTAACACATGCAATATTCTGTATACAAACGCAAAATCTACTCAGTAAAGACACAGATGTGGGTGTGGACTGTTACCTGCCAGTCAAAGCCTCCTAGTACTGCGGCTTGGGGTGACGTTGGACATTGGTCTGGGATCTCAGACCCTGATCCTGAACCAGGGGTGAGGATGACCATCAGCCTCCTGCTCTGCTTCATGCAGTCTTCCACCAGCTCCAGACGATCTGTAGGGTCAGAAAAACGACATTCATGTTGATCCTTTTATCTGTTTGAAACTATCTGATCTGAAAAAATGTACGGAGAAGGAACATGGAAAAAAAATAATTAAATGACATCATTTTATGTCATTAATTGATCTGAAAAAGAATTCACAGACGTTAGTATTAAGAAATAAACTATCACAAAGTAAAACAAAACACAATCTTATAACGTGAGCGAGCCTCAGTCGATATTTTGAAGAAGGTTTCTTCCAAATACAAATCTGAGATCCTGCATGTCCAAAATCCCAAACATAAAATACAGACCTTCCCCTGGTATATCATCTCTCCCGTGGATGAAGAGTCGATATCCGCACTTATTCTCGAGGACAGACGGCAAAGTGTCTGTGACGAACCGAGATAGTGTTTCCTCGGTGGCCTTGTCCATTTTCTGCGTCTGATAGACCACATAGGCATCATAGACCCTATTATCTGGGAAACACAAATTCAAAGATGCTGAACTAATTAATTGTTTTTTTGGGGTTTTTTTTGGTTCTGTTTCCTGAGATCATCATGATGTAATGCAACCCTGTCGCCACATCCAGTCATCTGCGCCTGATGAATGTGGAATATGAGACTGCAGCTGATGTGTAAAGAATATAGCCGTTGTTATAAAATCCTAAATCAAACTTAACATCTGGTTCTTGTGTTGCAGTATCACATGCAAGAAGGAAACTGTGTGCAGGAAAAATCCTCCCTGTTTACATCATGCCTCTGGCTCGCTGTCGCCCATTACATTAGCACAAAATGTGTTTCAGATTTCCCTGAATTGTGATGCCAGCAAAGTTGTTTGAAAGACTGGACCACACCAACTGGAACAGACTAAACCAGTCTAACTGAAATGGGTTTGCAAGAATGCAGCCTGAGGATGGGGAGTTCATTGACTAAATAATTATCTTACCTGTGAGGAAGAAGGTATGCTAGGTTACATAGAAAGCACTGTTTCTAAGTATTTTGTAAGTGTGGCTAGAATTACACATTTACAAATTTACACATCAATTTCCAACCACATTACAGATTTACTAACTAAATTTGTTCAGTTGCTTTGGTTTGTTTCACACACCCAATTTGACTTTAACACATTTTGTCACTTAAAATGTACTGTGCTAAAATCAGCTTGAAATAAATGACCTAGTTTAGTTTAACATTTTGGGAAATGTAAATAATTTAATAAACTACTGATATTTAAAATGGTGTTTGTGAAATTTTAGACTGATATATCAAGTACTTTCCAGAATAATTTCTTGTTTTATATTGCCTAATCCTAACCCTAACCCATTGCAAATTGAAATTTAAGGCTGTAAGAATGACAATACCTGAGGAACGATTGTCCCAGCTTCAAAGTCATAAAAAGATTTTTAAATATGATGCCGAAGTCAACTAGTGATTTTTTGTGAATATGTAGATGAATGATATGTCGCTGCTGTCACAATAATACAAAACATATATAATACTTTACAATATGAAATGCTTTGTCAAAAAAAATACAAATAATAATAATAATAATAACCATCTTTCATACCTGAATGAGCAAAAGACTTGTTAACACTTTTGTGAGATCAGCGTTTTTTAAGCATGGCGTTAGTCAGTATTAGCTCAGCTTAGCATGAAAACCCAGAAGCAGGGGCGGATATCTCTGTGTAGCAGTAACGTAAAATAAAACATTTAACGCATCTGTTGAAAGAAAACTCTTTCCTTCCTACCTTCATTGTGTTTGCTCAGTGGGAGGTAGGGTCTGAAGAAGAGGGCCAGATCGATGGCAAAGCACTTGACCAGCATGGCAGCAAAGACACAGAAGAACAACACAAACACTCCTCCAATGACCAGTGGAATTATTGACTCTGAAAAACAAACATTTAAGTTTGAAAGAAAATTTGTGTGTATGTATTACTAAAACATGTTCTGCATATTTCATATTATCTGTTATATTTCATCTACAGCAATGTATTCTGCAGTGCCTACAAAAAGTATTCACCATGCTCTGAATTTTTCTCCTTTAACTGCTTTTCAACATTGAATTATGGTCAATTATTTATTATTTTGGTCAATAATTTAGGAAAATTTCAACAATTTCCCTGAGGTACCCTACCAAAGGGATCAATAAAGTTCTATCGAATCTCTAATCTAAATTTGGCTTTTTTTGACAAGAGTCTACTGAGTGAGGCCACCAAGACACCCATGACTCCGCTGAAAGAGTTACAACCTTCAGCAGCTGAGATGGGAGAGATTGTTTATGGGAGAGTGGTGGAGTGGAAGGACACTGGAAATGAAATGTACTGGAGAGTGAGAGCATATGCTGTAGAATAAGAGTACTGGAATGTGTAGAGTAAACAAACACTGGGATGTTGCCATATGTAGAAGAAAGTATTAGGAGTGGGGTCAGATAGAATAATACAGAGAGGGGGACCATTACGGGTTCATAGCCATGGAATTGGACAAATGATTAGATTACATGTATAAGATGAATTCGCCTGACAACAACTGTTTACAGTCATGGACAATATGTAGCAGATGGATATGTTTTGGTTTTGTACCGTTCAATCTTTTTCTTTTTTTAAATGTGGAGGGATCAGAACTTGCTAAAGACAGAAGTCTAGAGATTACCCTGGAGTCTCTACCTTAAAAGCAGGAGAGCTTCAGTTCATTTTGTTCCTGGGAGCAGCTCGAGTTGATTTGTGTTGCTGCCACCATGGAGCACAATAAACACTTTTGTAATTGACTCTGCTTGCCTCCTTAATTGATTGGACCAAGTGGTTTCCTCAAGCCAACTTCAAGTTTCTAGAATTAAGTGTTAACTCACAATTTGTCTAAAAATTCAGTGTTTAAGTACATTTTAGATTAAAACCATACTTGTTAACATCAGACATCACTGTAGCAAAGAGAAAGTCAGTCTTGGAAAATCTTATGTTAAATACTAGAGTTCAACCGAAGTTGTGTGAGAGACTCTGATGTAGTCTGTAAGAGAACTGACTTTGGAAAAGATTTGTTTCCCAGCAAGACAATGACCTAAAGCAAACAGCCAACATGACACAGAAATTGTTTAAAGACAACAAGGTGAATGTTCTGGAGGCAAAACAAGCAAAAAAAACCAAAAGAAAATAAATAAATAATTCCCTTCATCTGGAGGTTTTTCACTGAACAAGCCATGTACGAGTAATTGTAATCTGAAAAGTAGCCAGTAAATAAAACATGAGACAAATGTGTTGGAGTAAAAAGTACAACATTTGTCTCTGTGGTATAGTGGAGTAGAACTGTAAAGGTGCATAGCATGGAAATACTCTAGTAAAGTACTTTTAGTGCAGTATTTGAGTAAATATACAGTTATCTATAGCACATGTATATAATACAAAAACTCAATAATAGTGTTACTGACCTCTCTGCTTAAGGGTTAAAGTGGTACGCTTTACTGAGTAAAAGCCAATGCCGATGCATTCAAACTCATCCTCGAAATCTTTGGCAGACACTTTTCCAATGGTCAGGATCGCAGTGGTGATGGTATTCATTGAAGGGTTCTCAATTACTCTAACAGAGGACACAGTTTGGTTTATTAAAGACAAGGACACAAAGGTTACTGCTGACAACAGAGTTAAGAGGTTCAGTTCACATCAGCAAAGCAAATACTTTTGACAGACATAATTGTTTTTATCTGTTCTTGAACTCAATTTTCCTGTTAATTGTATGTGAAATGTACCATCAGATGAAAACCAAATAAATGTCTGTATGTGAGTTTTATCAGTGTTATGCATAAGTGTACAAATAAATAGTATATAACTGAAGTGAGTGAACCCCTGTGATCACTGAAACAAAATTCAGTGCATCATAATTGCATAAACATGGTTCTGAAATCGACTGTGAACATCAGAGCCTTCTCAGTTTTAAATCCATGGACTGCCTTTACCTACATGTCTGCATTATTGCTCCAGAATTACCAGAAGTATTTGATTGTGACTGTGAGACCTCACAAAGATAGAACAGAACAGGAAGATCAGTGACCAACTATACATTTGTAACACATAGTTGCAGCAGTAATCAGTAAGTATAGGACATGCCACAGTACCACTAATCAGAGCTGCAGTGGCCATCTTCCAAAAATGACAGCATGGACAGTGCCTGATATGTACAATCTGACCAGATAGACAGATGCTTCAGACTTAGTACAGGGGTTACTGGTGGAGCTCAGACTGTGTAAAGGTCTATCATAGTGAATGCATAGTCCTGACAGTGAAGCACAACTGGAGCAACATGAGGTGTTGGACATGTGCCTGTGAAAATATCAAAATACTGAAATACTGACTGACAAGATGACCCCAAGTGATCAGAACCTTAACAGAAGAGAAATATTCCAGCATGACAACCATCCAAAGCACGCTGCCAAAATCACACAAAAGTTTCTAAATGAATGAAAAAGTTGAAACCATGATCTAAACAGGCATATCGCTTGATGTCAATCTAATAGAACACCAAGAAAGGCAGAGCCACACCACTACTCCAGCAACGAGCAGAAATATGGCAGAGAATCTTAATGACTTGAATCTCAGTACTGACGTTTGTTTTATTGAGTTCCTGTTGTGTGGTTTGCATTTTTAATATAGTAAATCTAAACTGGTTTAATTTCACATGCAAACCTACACGTTGAGCTTAGTAATGCAATTAGAGAGGTGATGGGCATTTAACTGACATTGCACAGGGTATACTCACTTCTGTTGAATGTGTGCATGAGTGTATAGTATATTACAAATGTGTAATGACACTAAACAAACGGGAACCGTTGCATTATTTATTTTTTTACGTCTGCTCGTGATTGGACTTACGTTTTGGTGGTTTGATTATATCTATCTGAGTGGATGTCGCTGACAGAGATTCCATTAATTTTCCAGCGGGCATCACAGCGCCCTGCTACGTTTTTCCCACAGTAAACTGAGCAATTTAACTTGATTGGACGGCCTGCAATGAAAGAAGAAGACATATTAGGCAAGAAGTTTTGAACCTAGGACATGTGTTGTTCAGCGCATCAAGATCCAGAGCAGTTCACCAACACATTGCAATGTCCTGCTATGGAGTAGATGAACAAAAGACTGGGTGTCCTAATGTTCAAAGGATCCATACTGTCTACAACAATTCTTGTTAATGACCAGAAATAATCAGTACCAAACAGCTAGGCGGGGTTAATGCAGGAATAAGATTTGTAGTGAAATGACAGTCTGTGGTGTTATTGGGTAAAGTTTTTCTACCTTCATCGGCAAACTGCACTTTATTGGTCGGCGAGAGGATATCTACATCACTGTTGATGTCTTTGTCTGTAAGAAAGCAAAAATAAAACATTGCCAAGTGGTCATTTTTCCATGCTCTTCTTCCTGGCAGCTGTCACATCACCAGTGTTAGAAACATAATCAGTTGTTTTGTAGCTGATACACAACATATTCAACAACTTTGTTGAAAGACACTGTACACAGCAAATTCTGTTTGGTGAGGAAGTAGCCTTATAAACAGTCTTAAACTTTGCATACGTCTAGTTTTGTTTGTTTCATTGGCTGGTTGGTAGAAAGTGCCAAGAAAGCGTTTGACACAACTTCAGACTGCACAACATGCCCTGCAAAGGTCTGTCCTCAGGCATTCATGGCTTCTCACCACAGTTACTGTATCCCTGAACTACTTCTATAAGCAAACTACATATTCAGGCTCTTTTATGTCCTTTTGATGGGATATATTTTCATCTCTATTCACCGAGCCTCCCCTGAAACTTCCACTCTTACAACCTTTACTGTGTTGTAATAAAGGCTGCTGATCACTTGTATTATTCTTTTGTTTTTTTCGAGTCCCAAAGCCCCAAAAGAAAGGCTAAACATGCTCTCTCACCCAGAACTATTAACCTCCGGGAGGCTGACGAGTTGTACACCTTGTGAAAGTGTCTCCAGGTGCAGATGCAGGTGTAGATGCCCTCATCATCTTTGGTGGCATTCTCCACCCACATTTCAGCTTCATGCTCACCTGGTAGAAGACTGAAGTCCTGCAGTAACAAAGCAAAAGATAAAGAAGGAATAAACATATTCTGACATACACTAATCATCTCATTACATAAGAATAACTGTGAAAAATTAAATTAAAATCATATGTAGCAGCTTGAGGTCTTGATAATAATTACTTTCATGAATGTAATGTTAGTAAGCACTGTGGACTGAAGTAAATAATGCTTTGAAAATGAATCAAAATGTGCTGCAGCTGTAAATATTTTAACATATGTTAGGGTATCAGCAAAATTAACATCTAATGTAAAAATACAGCATTTGTCAAATTATAAAACTCTATATTTTATTGATTACAACAAATTTGTCTGAGAAATCTAGTGGAAACAGGGTTCTTTGCACATCTTCCAGCAAAACACAGCTTATCAGGTGCTACTCAGCTTCAAGCAGCAAATTTCAAGAGCAGAACAAGTTGGTTGACCTTAAGTAAAGTTTTTTTGTATGTGTCACAGTTGCTAAGAAACAATCAGATCATGCTCTGTATCTTCTGTTCTCGGAAGTTCCTACAAAGTACAACATAAGTTAGTCATATCACAAACGTGCGAAACAGATAAAGCGTTGCACTCGGGAAGGGACCCGCGACTTTATCTGAGTTTGTTTGGGGGAACGAGGAAATGGTGCTGTTACAAAGAAAAACGAAGAGCACAGCTGAGTGGAGCTCATACACAACTGTGACTTCAAAAAAGTGTTCCTGCAAATAACCGCACAGTTCTGCTAAACTAGAAAACTGACAAACATTCACAGTAGGCAAGGTAAACAATGATGTATTACTGCTACGTTTATTCGCTATATTAGTGGAATATTATATTGGTCATGGTATTTTTAACCCTGCATAAAGACAGACTAGTTTGCATGGTGACCACAGAGCAAAACAATCTTCAAATGGTCTTGAATCAGTCACACATGTAGCCGCAACCAAACAGAGTAACCATGCTGTAGTTTGTTTACTTGCTAACATGTTGATTTCTTACCATAAAGCTTGAACACATTAGAGCCACAGTAGAAATCAAATTCATTTCCAGAGAACTCAACAGGAAATGTCAGTTTACGATGGCTTCCTGTGGGTTTTGGAGTTCAGGTGGTTGATAAACATTAGGTCAAAGAACAAAGCTAAACTACCTCCTTTCAAGTTCAATCAGTTTGTCACAGAGGCTGACGAAGAACCACAAATCCCATAATAGCATCTTGAAGATGTGTAGTCACTTCATTGTGCCACTAAAGCCCCAGTGTCCCAGCCTCAGCCTGGTCTACCTGCTTTAAACTAGTTCCCCAAAAAGTTAAATTACCAATGTTTTAAATTACATTGATAGGCTTACAATTAAGAAATCCTTGAAGATCATTCTCCTTCACTGCCATTCACAACAGGTGTCACTATAAACACAGGTGTCGTCGTACCTTGTACCAGGTGAAGTTTCCCGTCAGCGTTTCGCATGTGTTACTGACAACACGTGGACACGCGATTTCTTTGTTATCATCAGAGTCTTCGATTTCTCCATAGGTGAGTTTCTCATCCTCCCGATAGCTTGTACTGAAGACACCAATTTCCACATGATGGTTAAAACATTTACCTGTTGGCCTGATTTCCCTAAGAGAAGAAACAGATGGAGATCAGGAGCAAAGTAACAGATCGTATTACAGGAATAAACACATGTTAGGTATCAAATGATCAGAAAATGACATGAACGTAATGTTGCTTTGGATGATAAGTGATAGTAAACAATAAGAACAACATAGGTGATGAGAATTCTTACTGGCAGGTGTAATTGCCAGCATCATCAGGGAGGACGTCTAACAAAAAGAGCGCACCACCATGATAATGCACCCGCTCCGTCTCTTTAGAGGAAATATTCTTAAACTGGGGGCTACTTCTGTACCACGTAAACTCTTCATCGTGGCGGTTCGGCTTGTTCATACTGTAGGGCACAAAATAAAACGCTTCACCTTCAAGAAGGTTAAACGTATCTCTGTCAAAGTCCTTACAGCCAGACACGGATGCCTCTGAAAATGGAGGAGAAGATGATTACAAGAAGTGAAATGTTCATCATTCCTGGATATTTAAATGTGCATAGAGTGATTAGGTTCATATTGTCTACTCTGATTATAGGCATAAGGGTTTTTAATTCTGTATTGTTTCCTGTATTTAATTCTTTAAATATATATATACAGCATTTAAACTTTAACTAAACATTTTTGCATGCAGCACATAAAAAGGAATGGAAAGATTTGAGAACTTCTCATATTGAAAAATGTCAATTATCTCTAGAATGCTGTTTTTTGTTGTTGTTTTTCAAAAGTTACAGGTTTTTAATGTAATTTTAGATCAGACATGTACATTCATAAACTTTCTTTCTTTTTCTTTTTTTTTAAATGATCAATTTTGTGCATTTTTTACATGTCTGATGTGTGTCTGAAGATGTGTGTCATCATTACGAAGGAACATGTCACCATGTTTTATGTGTGAGCATATTGACACTACTGTTAAAATGCAATACAAATGCATTTCCCTGTAGAAAAACAGTCTGTCCACTTTAAATATGGTCTCTTGTGTAAAAGTATGTGTGCATTATATTTATTCCTTAACCTCCATTAAAATATCTTCCAGTGATGGCTCTCGGTTTAAGTTTGAAGTATTGGCTTCTTCCACATTTACAGCTGCATAAACAGATCAATTATTGCACTGTTCTTTTACTGTCTATGCTCTTTGTCATGATGTGTACCTGATTTCCATTCAGATGTGGATATCACCACGACAAGGAGAACTCGCAAAGCATCCATTAGCTGAAAGAGACACAACACATCCTGTTAAATAATTCATCAGTACAAGTAAAGAAACTGCAAATAGTCTCATTCATGCATCAGTCCTGCAGGACAGACCACCTCACAGCGTCCTCTCTGTCTCCTCCACTGAATGATATGATCATGACAGTCATGCGGTCAGTTAAGTAGAACATTCTTATCGTATATCACATATCTGGATGTTTGAAGAGACACCATGCTGCCAAGTTGGTGGACAGTCAACAGGATGTGCAGCAGCCTAATCAGAATCAGACCAAGTATTTTTTATGTTTTTTGTTTTTTTCTCTTCATGCTTTCGTGAGACATAGCTGCATGTCCTTCTTTGGGTTTTGGCTCTGTCAAAATTGGAAACTTGCTTCATGGCGCTGTGCCAAGAAGATGCTTTCGAACGGAAACAGATGATTTCTTGTCTGCATTTTTCATTTTGTGAATCACAGATAACAGTATTCACCTCAAGAAACCTTCTCCAACCACATAAATATTCTCATTTTCAAATTTAGGTAAACTATCAAAGTTGTATATGTTATTTTGTTGGGCTTGGTTAAAGTAATGATGTTGATCCTTGCATTGGCCGAATGTCTTCAACAGTTCACTTTACTGAGAGGATCAGTTCATCAAATGATCGTCTGTTATGAAAAAAACAAACAAACAAACAAACACTGTGGAAGTCAAAGGTGTCAGGAAAAAATGTTAAATAATGTTGGAAAACAGTAACATAGCATATATAAATGGTGAAAATCGGGCACTATTGCAGATTTCATGAATTATTATCTATAATTTAACAAAACAGGGAAAAGCTGTAAAACATTTTAAGCTGATATATAAATATTATCTGTAAAATATTGATATTTTTGGTTGACTTAAATGCAGCAAAAAAGTGCAAGTTTACATTTAATCATTTTTTAAAAAGTAGCTACTATGTGTAAAATATGGTGTGAACAGTTTTGCTCTTTTTTTAAAATTTTTTTTGTTAAATTTAATTTAACATGTAAATTCAGGGGTGGCGCAGTTGGTAGCACTGTTGCCTCGCAGCAAGAAGGTTGCCGGTTCGCGTCCCGGTGGGGGCACCGGAATCTTTCTGCGTGGAGTTTGAATGTTCTCCCCATGCAGCGTGGGTTCTCTCCGGGTTCTCTGGCTTCCTCCCACACGGTCCAAAAACATGTTGAGGTTAATTGGTGATTCTAAATTGTCCGTAGGTGTGAATGTGAGTGTGCTTGGTTGTCTGTCTCTAAGTGTAGCCCTGTGATAGACTGGTGACCTGTCCAGGGTGTCCTCTGCCTTCACCCTGAGTCGGCTGGGATAGGCTCCAGCTCCCCGGCGACCCTGGTGAGGATTAAGCGGTGTATAGATAATGGATGGATGAATGGAAGTAAAAATGTGTAATTTAATACAAAACAGTAAAATGTTTAAAAGACAGTGTTTAGGATATATATGTACATACTGCAGTGTCCAGGATGTATACACACACACACACACACACACACACACACACATATATATACATACACATATACATTATTTATTGCTTAATTAAGTTGCCCTGTAAAGTGACAGCACTTGAACATGAACTCAGTGAAAAATGTGCAGCTCTAAAACAGCCTTTACAAAACAATCTTATCTTTTGGTTCCTCATCTGATATGACTGAAAAACTGCTGACAAAATTGACTAACAAAGTTTAGCCCACATTTTCGGTAAAGATATCAGCAGCAGCATTCACTACCTCAACTATAGTCACTGTTTTAATTTAGTGGAAAGGGTTTTTGAAAAAAGTAAAACTATAAACAAACAAAAGAAGCAACAGATCAACTTAAAGAGACATTTCAGGACCTTGTGGGACCTAAAGCCAGAACAATGAGACTTAAATAACTCTTTGGGCCTGAAGAGTTCAATATTAAACATGAATAGCTGTACCCATGCTTTAACTGCTCTCTATAGATAGTGGGGAAATACCTGATCAAAAAAAGAAAGAAAGAAAGAAAGAAAGAAAACCAGAGTGTGGTTTCCACTCTGTCACCTGGCTGCTGAATAATTTGACACACTTTTCCACTGATTAGAACACAGCTGTATTTCTTTAATCTTTTGCCACTCAGACCTTGAGGTGGCTACAGGTTTATTTTAAATGCCGCTACTGTGTTTTCAATATGGCACCACTGACTCATGTACTTTTTCAAAGGTTGAGCACAAACTTGAAATAAAACCCAAGAGTTAAAAGTGCAGTGCAATACAGTTTAAAGTAAACATCACCAGAATGCCAATAAAATAACTGCTTACCTCATGAAAGTGTGTGTCGACTAGAGTGGCATCAAGTCTGACTGTGTTGTTGCCCTCTTCTCAGTGGGTTTATATCTCCTCTATCAATACAGCAGAGTGAGTGAACAGCATCAGCTACACGAAGAAGGAAATCCAAAGACACCCACATGCCGTTTCCCTCCGTCCTCCTATTTTCTTTAACTCCCTCCCTCTCTCACACACCCATGAAAACATACATTCACTGGTGCTTCTGAAGTGGGAAGACCTTAAAATCTTTGGGATGTAGTCACCTCCTTTGCCCCTACTAGATTAAAGGCAGCACATAGCATTAGCAATTGACATTATTTTTTGCATGAAAATCGTCAAAATGGTGCTTTATCATCATTAACTTATTGTGTGGCATCAGGGCACAATTGCCAGAATTTGGACACAGGCATAGCTATGTTTGACTCCTTTATACTGAGAACATTTTGTACAATGTCTGGGGGGGCTTAATTCAGAAAAGGGGCAAAATTACACCAAGGGGGAAACCTAAGGAAAGTAATGTGAATAAACTAAAGCTAGAACAACAAAATGGGGATACTCAAGGGGCTCCAGTGTCCAGAACATTCTAGAGGCATCCTTGTGGGTTAAAAACAAGATTACATAATCTCTGGGCAGGCGGGGCCGTTCGGGAGGCCGGGCTGGGGGCCAGCAATGGCCGAGACAGGGACCTTCGGGAGGCCAGGCAGGCGATGGGCAATAAAGGAGGCGGAACCCCTCTAGACGCCGGACTGGGAACCAGTGAAGTAGGAGGTGGGACCCCTCGGGAGGTCGGACTGGGGACCAGCAACGAAAGAGGTGAGACCCCTCTGGAAGTCGGCGACGAAGAAGGCCGGACCCCTCTGGAAGTCAGACTTAGGGCCAAGATCCCTTTGGAGGCTAGCAAAGGCAGAGGCCCTCTGGAGCAGGGGAGGCCACTGCCTGCGATCAAGAACAGGATCAGAGAAGGCGTTGACCTGCCCAGGACCAGGGACCTGGGAGGAGGCATCGACCTGCCTGGAGATGGCCAGGATGTAGGACCGGTGTGGTGGGGCCTCAGGGATCTCCATGACGCTCGGTGGCAGGACCTCCATGATGCTGGGAAGCAGCAAGGTCTGGGCACTGGGGAACAGCGAGGTGTGGCGTCGCCTGGAGCCACGTTTTTTCCTGGAAGGTTTTCCAGGAAGTGGCTCCTTGGAGACCCAGGGAGCAGGTTTAGGCGAGAAACTGGTTGAGACAGACTGGAAATTGTCGAGTCCAAGGGCTCTATCAAGCAAAAAGGATGACAGCTCACTAGAGGAGATGGAGATGGGGGGGTGACTGGGGACCTCTTCTACTTCAGGAACCTCACCTTCCACCGAGTGTCAGTTTAATGGCTGGGCGGGTTCCCCAGAAGGGAGACTCCCAGGCATTAGCAGGCATGGTATCTGGGGGGGCAGGATTCTAGGAGTTCGTGGGTGGTGGTAAGACCTGGCTGTTAGCCTGAAGGTTTACAGACACAGGGGCTGAAGGTGCTTGGTAGCCAACTGGATGCAGGCCATACCCACACCAACCCTGTGGGCTTAGGGCCTGCAGGCCAAAAGCTAGCTGTCTCAGGAGCAGAAAAGAAATTGGCAGGCGGAGAGACAGGGGTGTTAGTAAAATCTAAAATAAAGTCTGGTAGTGAGTTCTGCAGCCAAAGTTATTTGCGCTGCTTCTCTGGCCCTTTCCACAGTCCGTAAAAGTGAAGGCGATAATCCAAACACTGGTAAGATTCCTCATCTTCAAAGGGGTCAATGGGAGAAGCAGGCAATGGGTCAGAGCCGGACTCTGTGTCTGCTGGGTTCATGTATGGCCAGACCATACTGTCATGGTGGGTCTGGGAACCCAGGTGCAGACACAGATGGAGGCAGACAGGCAGGTGAGGTATTCTAAGTAAAAAAAAACGAAGAAAAACTCCAAATTAACAACAAACTAACCCTGCAGCTATCTCCAATACCTGTAATCAGGCACACAAGACCTGAGTGACAGGAGAGTCATGTTAAATGGTCTGCACTTATATAGCGCTTTTATCCAAAGCACTTTACAATGTGTTTCTAATTCACCCATTCACACACATTCATACACCAGTGGCGACAGAGCTGCCATGCAAAGTGCTGTCTGCCATTGGGAGCAACTTTGGGTTCAGTGTCTTGCCCAAGGACACTTGGACTGTGGAGGGGCGGCGGATCGAACCACCAACCTTGCGACTGGCCAGAGCCACCCGACGTTGTAATATTGGAGAAATGAAGTCATGCTGAAATTCTGAAGAAGAAAACGGAAAGCTCCACCCTGCAAGATTACAAGTAAAAACACCAGGATCTACTGTGTGTGTGTGTGTGTGTGTGTGTGTGTGTGTGTGCGTGTGTGTGTGCCAGCAAAATCCCTTACACATTCATTCAAGTGTGACCATGCATACTTCATCATCCCCAAAAGACAAAGCTGCATCATTGTGCAAAAGCTGGGTCAAAGCAGGACAATTGTGTAACTAAAACCACCAAAAAGCTGTATCATGACAGCTAATGCTTCTCGCTAACTGATCTAACTGGCCGCATTACCTCTTTCTACGGCTAATCAGCAAGACAATGAAAAATGCTAAAACAAGACAATAATGCATTACAGAATTTTTAATAACTAAATATTATCTATTTTTACACATTTTTGATAATTTCTTAACACCTCTGGAAAGCTGAGGAAGGCTAACGATTCAGTAAAGTGTTTTAGAATACATATCTCATGACTACACTATAAAAAGCAGTAATAGGGACAAACAATACAGTAATCAAATGCTTACAGCAATATATGACATCAATGGCAAAAACAGTTTTTGTAGGATAAAACTGTAATATATCATATAATGCCTAAAATATAACATTTTTACATAGAATAAATACAAAACATTGATTGCTATTTATGAAGAAAAGACTAATGTAGGTAGCCACATGATAAATAAATAAAAACATATAGGTAACAAGACTTGGAAAAGACTGTTTGGCCATAATGTTTACAGTGTGTGAATTCAGATTCTGGCTCAGTAATGACATTCCAGGTTATTTGCAGCATTAACCAGTTCCATTGAAAGCTCTGGCTCAGATCCGTCATGAATTGTGAAGTTTCAAGAAGCAAACATTGCTCACAAAGTGGAAAACTTGACATCAGAACTAAATGTGTGTGATATTCCAGGAAAGGAGTGGCTTTCTAGGAATCAGATCATGAATCGGAAACAACATAGGTCTCCAAAACAGAAGGTGGATCAGTTGATTCCAAAGAAGGATCAGGAGAAGCAAAACAGTGTGAACATACAAAAGAGCTTTTTTTTTTTTTGCTGGGAGTTACACTGTAAACAATTTCCAGTTCATTCAGCAGGTGCAGCTGCTGCCTTGAAAATGTGAGTTGAGGTTGATTTATGAGAGCAAAGTCATCCTCTGAGATGTAAGAGTGTAAAACTAGCTGAGATAAAGTAACTGAATTTGAGAAAACAAGTTAAAAGAAATAATAAATTGAATCAACCACTCTTGCAGATAATGACAGCTTGAAGTGTTGAAGCCATTTTGCCCAGAGTCTTGACAAAGATGACCTATGAGCCTCTTCCTGGTTCCAATAAAGTCTTTGGCAATAGTTACTGAATTCAACATGAACCTTCGTCATGGTTAAACTTGTTTTGAATTGCTATGAAATGAAACAATCATAATTTAATGTTTCACTCATGTCTGTTCTCTCAGACTACCATAAAAAAAGGCTGCATTTCAATATGCAAGTCAGCATGCTTTTCTGGCTTTTCTGACCCACAATTTTCACCACATTTATGTCACATGCGTATGTCGCAGACATGTGAGGTGTGGACAGGTGCAGTGAATCAGCCACTACCTGAGTGCCTTCACCTGCCACGAGGCGTGGTTTCAAATCAACTACTCGTCTCTACTCACCATAAAAGCTGTCTTTAAGCCTCGAGAAATTACTGGACTGCAAATGACCCTCAGCTAGTGTTCCTCGGCTCTGATCTGTTCGCTGGTAAATCCGAATCCTGTTTAACCTCCCCTGTTTCTGCCTCAGTTGGACCTGCCCTGCCGATCCTGGAACCCTGGTCAAAACCACCAGTCTGGTGTACGCTGCACACTCTGGCGTCTTCCTGGAAAAGACCGCCGGATCATTCCCAAACAATCATTGTCCACCACCATTCTGCCTCACTGCTGCCACCTCACTCTCCGTCCCTTCCCTGGTGTTCGCCAGTCAGTAAGCCTTCATTCTCCTGCTGGGCTCCTGCTAAAGATTTATAGGATTTGGCTTCCCTGTAGTCTGTTTAGCCATTTTGCTAAATCTGTTTCCTCCCTTGATTAGGTTATTGATTGTGGCCTGTGGAATGTTGCTTCACTCCTCTTCAATGGATGTGTGAAGTTGCTAGATATTGGCAGGAACTGGAACACGGTGTCATATGCTGATCCAGAGCATCCCAAACATACTCAGTGGGTGGTATGTCCAGTGAGTATGCTGGCCATGCAAGAACTGGGAAGTTTTCAGCTTCGGTCTACGGTTGTGAGGCCGGTTGGATGTACTGCCAAATTCTCCAAAAAAGGCCTTTGGAGACAGCTTATGGGAGAGAAATGAACATTCAATTCATGGGCAACAGCAATTGCACGCTCCCTCAAAACTTGCAGCTGTGTGATAAAACTGCACATTTTACGGTGGCCTTTTATTGTGGCCAGCTGTGCAATAATCATGCTGTCTAATCAGCATCTTGTTATGCCACACCTGTGAGGTGGATGGATTATCTCTGCAAAGGAGAAGTGCTCGCTAACACAGATTTAAACAAATTTGTGAACAATATTTGAGAGTAATAGGCCTTTTGTGTACATAGAAAAAGTCTCATATCTTTGAGTTCAGCTCATGAAAAATGGGACCAAAAACAAAAGTGTTGTGTTTATGTTTTTGTTCAGTGTAACAGCACTGTGTTTAATTGCAGTTGGCTTTGTGTTGAATATAATATCTGAGTAACGTATTACATGAAATTATGACAAAATATTGACCAATGACACTGTTAAATCCTGGGTGAAACACTTCATGAACATTAGTTTCTCAGTTTT